TGTAATTCAGGTGTGTAAAATACTGCCATTACTTTGCAAGTACAACGAGAGAAGCTAGCGGAGCTAGCCGAGCTAGCCACGCTCAATAAACAACTACATATCTATCAATCAACACCATTAAATGTTAATCGGACAATACAGTATACATATACATCCTTAACACACATGCACGGACTTTTTCAGAATTTCTTGTTATCGTTTTCATGACCAAATTACTATTTTAATGTGACAAAAAGCGATCGCGAAAAACCCGGAAGTAACCATTAACATGTAGTTCCAGGGAGCTAGCTAGCTTAACTGTTACATGCCTCGCACGTCCCGGTGAAACCTTTGAGAGCTAACTATTTTATTTGCAGTTATTGAATACATTTCAAATTGCAAGGGCTGTCTTAATATGTGCTCGAATATATATATTTTCTTAATTTTAGAATTATATTCGAATTTTGAGGCCGAAGCCCTAGTTTTTAGCAGCGCTGTAGAGGCTAGAGGACGCAGGCTGTTCGCTGCTCGTTCTGTGAGTGGAGGAGAAAGAGCGTCCCGCTCAGACTCTACTCAGCACTTTTCACTGCTTGTAATTCTTACACAGCTGAATCAATTGCCTCAAGTTTTCAATTAAATTACGGATTATAATACAACTTGTATGTAGTAATAAGTATTTTTATCAACTACTTAGAAAAAAATGTGGGTATAGCTTAGGTAATATTGGTTTGTCCTTTTGTTTATATGAAAAAAGTGTGAATTCTCTGCTGCTACAACCTCCACTTCCTCCACGTACATTCAGACATGTGCAAGAGCCGAGAACAAACATTGTTCTCGGCTCCTGCATGTTTGTTCTCTCTCTCTCTTCTCTCTCTCTCTCTCTCTCTCTTTCTCTCTCTCTCTCTCTCTCTCTCTCTCTCTCTCTCTCTCAGATATGGACATACTCTCTCTCTCTCTCTTTCTCTCTCTCTCAGATATAGGACCAGACTCTCTCTCTCACAGATATAGGACCAGACTCTCTCTCTCTCTCTCTCTCTCTCACACACACACACACACACACACACACACACACACATGCAGATATGCAGATATGGAGTTTCTCTCTCACACATATAGGACCAGACTCTCTCTCTCACAGATATAGGACCAGACTCTCTCTCTCTCTCTCTCTCTCTCACACACACATGCAGATATGCAGATATGGAGTTTCTCTCTCACACATATAGGACCAGACTCTCTCTCTCTCTCTCTCTCTCACAGATATAAGACCAGACTCTCTCTTTCTCTCTCTCTATCACAGATATAGGACCAGACTCTTTCTCTCACAGATATTCGACCAGACTCTCTCTCTCACAGATATAGGACCAGACTCTCTCTCACAGATATAGGACCAGACTCTCTCTCTCACAGATATAGGACCAGACTCTCTCTCACAGATATAGGACCAGACTCTCTCTCTCACAGATATAGGACCAGACTCTCTCTCTCACAGATATAGGACCAGACTCTCTCTCTCACAGATATAGGACCAGACTCTCTCTCTCACAGATATAGGACCAGACTCTCTCTCTCACAGATATAGGACCAGACTCTCTCTCTCACAGATATAGGACCAGACTCTCTCTCTCACAGATATAGGACCAGACTCTCTCTCTCACAGATATAGGACCAGACTCTCTCTCTCACAGAGATGGTCAGACAGCTCGGTGCCACCTCAGAGCATTCTCTTAAAACGTCACATTTCCCTTTTCCTCTAAGTGCCTCATAAAAGTGCATTATGTTTTATATATTTTGATTTGGGATTAAAACTCTGATCCTTGTGCTCCATTATAGACATGTGCGGGACACTGGGACTAATGCCTCTAAACTCTGCGTCTCTTGTAAAATAGGTGTATGTTGTGTTGGTTTTTTAATAGACTCGCGTTGGCAGAGCTGGAGGCAGAGACTCCTCAGGGTCCGATATCTGTGAGGAGATTTATTTGGCAAAAGTCTTTATTCTCTTTCCCAAAGTCTGAGAGATGTTACACAAATGTTTACGTTTGCACTTTATCCATGTGACAAAGCTGCACTGATAAAGACACACACACAGACGCACACACACACAGACACGCGTACACACACACACACACCCCCACGCACACACGCAGACACGCAGACACACACACACGCACACACGCAGACACACAGACACACACACCAAAGGGAGATCTCTGTCTCTGTTTGGATCATGAAGGCTTTACACATACACTGTATATAGATCTGCTCTTTCTTTGGCCTCTGGTCTCTCTCTCTGCTCTCTCTCTGCTCTCTCTCTCTCTGCTCTCTCTCTCCCTGGTCTCTCTCTCTGCTCCTGCTCTCTTTCTGAAATATCTCTGGTCTCTCTCTGATCTCTCTCTCTTGTCTCTCTCTCTGGTCTCTCCCTCTGCTCTCTCTCTCTCCTTCTCTCTCTGCTCTTTCGCTCTCTCTGCTTTCTCTCTGATCTATCTGCTCTCTCTCCTCTCTTTCTCACTGCTCTCTCTCTGATCTCTCTGCTCTCTCTCTCTCTCACAAACATCTCAGAGTTTGTTTTTGATTCGTCGATCATTCCTTACGCCTCTATACAGAACCTAGTCTTTCTGCAGTCCTTCAGACTCATTCCCAGTCTGGACCATCAACTCTCGGTCTTTAGCGCTTGTTTCGCACCATGAGCCAAAATGGTTCTCAGAGCGACATTAGTGGCACATCTGGTCCGCAGCACTCGGTTCGCTCTAAGTCTACGACATAAAAACTCAATCCTGCTCCAGTGAACGCAGCGGATAAAAGCATCAATAAAACCAATCATCCCACGGAGAAAACCCTGGATTACCGATAAAAACGGACCAAAAAAACTATAATTTATACTCTCTCTCCTTTTTCTCTGGTCTCTCTCTCGCCCTCTCTCTCTCTCTCTCTCTTTTTCTCTGATATCTCTCTCTCTTTCTCTCTCTCTCCCTCTCTCACTCTCTGTCTATGTCTGTCTCTCTCATTTTCTGTCTCTGTGTCTCTCTCCCTCTCTCATCCTGTCTCTCTCTCTCTGTTTCTCTCCCTTTCTCTCTGTCTCTCCCTCTCTCATTCTCTGTCTCTCTCTTTCTCGCTGTCTCTCTCCCTCTCCCCCCCTCTCTTTCTCTGTCTCTCTCCCCACTCTCTCTCTCTTTCCCCCCTCTCTTCCCCCCGCCTCCCTCTTACTCTCTCTCTATCCCTTCTACCTTTCTCTCTGGTCTCCCTCTCTCCCCCTCTCTCTCTGGTCTCTCTTCCCCCTCTCTCCCCCTTCTCCCTCCTCCCCCCCTATACCAGTGAGTTTGTTAAAAGTCGTGCAAACTGTAGAGTGAGATATGCAGAGAGTTACTGCCAGAGACTGCTGTAAATTATGGAGAAATCTCGGCTCAAAGGCATTTAGAAACTTTTGCTTTGGCGGAATATAAAATAGACCTCGGATCAAAGTGAGAGAGAGGCTTTGAATGAAAGAGAGAAAATAATGTTGTAAATTGTGTTTGAGAAACTTTTTAAATGATGATCTGTGGTGAGTGAGAAGAATTGGAAACATGTGATTAGCTGCAAAAAAATCACAAAAATTGTAAGATAAGCTACAAAAATTCCTGGTCTCTCTCTGGTCTCTCTCTCTGGTCTCTCTCAGGTCTTTGGTCGCTCTCTGGTCTCTCTGTGGTCTGTCTCTCTGGTCTCTCTCTGGTCTCTCTGTGGTCTGTCTCTCTGGTCTCTCTGTGGTCTCTCTCTCTGGTCTCTCTCTGGTCTCTCTCTAGTCTCCTCTGGTCTCCTCTGGTCTCTCTAATCCTGGTTCAGTTTGTGAGTGTGTTTTTGGATCCGCTCAGAGAGAAGTGCTCTTTTACAGCGGAGCATAAATACCCAGAGGAATGTGTTCAGATCTCAGAACCATGTCTCAAACGTTAACCATGAATTAAAGCTTTTTAAGTGTGCTATACAAATAAACCCATTTTCACATCACTCACTCAGTGTAACGTCCAGTTTCTCACAAAATACAATTGAAAACCCAACGACTGCTGCTGCTACTGATAATGCTACTGATGTTACTACTGATACTACTGATGCTGCTGCTACTGATGCTACTTAAAGCTGCACTAACTGACTTTATTTTTGTATTCATTACAAAAATGCAATCCATATCCATGCAGTGCATTGGGATATACGTTCTATTGAAGAATAAGTAGCGCAGGTTTGTGCTGGACAGTCATTATATTTTAGATCGAGTTTTGGTAAAACAAGGAAGAGAATGTGTTTCGGGTCTCAGATTGTGACCAATCACAGCGGACCGCTGGCCCCCGCTTTTGTGAGAAAAGCTACAGGTCTCTCGTTAGCACCAACAGTTGAGTTAGCACAACAAGCGGCAGAGGCTAACCTGAAACTTCCTGTGTCTTCGTTACTGCTTACACAGCGAAACAGCCATCCTAAAGAAAGTCTCGTCCTCTCCGCACTTCCCGGTTCTATCATTCTATGGTCACGCCATCCACGTTCAAAAGTGCCATATTGTTCCATTTTGTGAGACGCTAGCTCCGAAGCTAACAACAGCACAGAGCACAGGCTGCGGGGGAGGAGGTAGTGGGGGGCGAAAGCTCCGTGGGTGCGGGGAGGGCGAGCAGAGAGAGGGAGGCCATTGCTCGCGTTTGAAAATGTCTCAAAATCAGTTAGTGCAGCTTTAAGGCTCACACTATTCTAGACTTTACTGTATGTTTGAAGTGGACTGAATGTGACATGTCTCCTTGAAAGCGTCTTTTTATCTTTTTACCTTGGATCTTTCTCTCTGGTCTCTCTCTGGTTTCTCTCTGGTCTCTCTTTCCGGTCTCTCTCTGGTCTCTCTCTGGTTTCTCTCTGGTCTCTCTTTCCGGTCTCTCTCTGGCCTTTCTCTGGTCTCTCTCTCTGGTCTCGCTCTGGTGTCTCTCTGCTCTCTCTGGTCTCTTTTTCTGGTCTCTCGGGCTTTTCTCGTGGAAGTGTTGGAGAGTGATGTCACATTTCTCCTTGTTGTGTTCCAGATGTGGTTGACTCCGGCTTCTGTCTCGTACTGTTCTCTGGTCCTGGACTGACGCAGGGACAGAGGTGACATCACAAACCAAACAATAACTTTGTTTTAAAAGTGTATGAAGTCATAAACAATCTCTGCTTCTCTTTGGATTTAAATGATGTTATGGGCACTGAGATACACAGAAACACGTGCCATGTCCGATCTCTGGTCTCTCTCTGATTTGTCCCTCTGGTCTCTCTCTGGTCTCTCTCTGGTCTCTCTCCGGTTTCTCTCTGGTCTCTCTCTCTTGTCTTTCTCTCCGGTCTCTCTCTGGTCTCTCCCTAGTTTCTCTCTGGTCTCTCCCTAGTTTCTCTCTGGTCTCTCTCTGGTCCCTCTCCCTGGTCTTAACAGCAGCTCTGGACCATCTGCTCTCAAACATCACGTCCTCAATCTCTCATAAATCTCCTTTTCCTCCGGTTTCCAAAGACTCAAGAAATCTCAAAGAAAAATGTGATGCAACGATCAGGATTTTTTCCCGATGTGAGCGATGGGAGAGCGTCCTGACAACTGAAGGAGAGAGACACGTTTGGCAAATAGGGTTTTTTCTCTTTCTTTCTCTCTCCGTGTGTAATGAATAATATGAATGATAATAATAGACACAGGCTCATGTCATTATTCATTCACTTCATACAAGATGGTGATTAACTACTATTGTAGTCATAGCTGCCCTGGGGCACACTGACAGAAGCGAGGCAACTTGTCTCACTCTCTCTCGGCTCTCTCTGTTTTTTTTTTGCCTCTCTGTTCTCTGTTCTGGTCCCTGTCTTTTTGGCCTCTCTCTAGTCTCTCTCTCTCTCAAGTGTCTCCTTGGTCTGTCTGCTCTCTCTCTCTCGTCACTCCTTTGTCTCTCTCTCTGGTCTCTCTCGCTCTCTCTCTTGCCTTTCCCTCTGATCTCTCTCGCTCTCTCTCTTGCCTCTACCTCTGGTATCTCTCTGGTTTAGTTTAGGTTTAATTTATTGAAACATTTCAAACTGAACTAAAAACTCTCTTTCTTCTCTTTCTCGCCTCTTTTGCCTCTCTCTCTCTCTGGTCTTTCTCTCTTGCGTTTCTCTCTGCTCTCTCTCTCTCTTGTCTCCCCACATTTATTGAGATTTCTGGGCTAGCATTACCCTGACCTTCCCCTCTCCTTCATTCATTACCAAACCCACGATCTCGTCTTTGAACAGCTCCAAATCCCTGGCTCTTAACCCGTCCTGAGCAGCTGTGGGAGATGGAAACCCCTGGATGAGGCTACAGTAGATGGATGATCCGAGAGGGGGGGGGGAGGGGGAGGCTGGGAGGGGAGGGGTGGGACAGGCCTGGTTCATGTCACCACCTCCTCACGGTTCTCATGAAGGAGCTGAGGACCAGAACTAACAAATCACCAGCACTTACGGAACATGAAAGCGCCGCGCTGTCACCAGATCTGCTCCAACGTCATAAATCCTCCGCCAAATGAAGAGGCCGAAGGGTCCGGCGTTTAGTAAAAGTGTTGGGAGATAACAGACGAGAAATGGGTTATTTTTGATGAAGAGTCCAGGTCCGGGCACTGAGAAGAGTCTATGCCAGGAGTTAAAGCTGAGGGACTTGACTAACATGTAGCTTGTTCCAACGGAATGAAAAATCTCTCAACCCTCTCTCTCTGTTGTTTCTCTCTCTGGTCTGTCTCTAGTCTCTCTCTGGTCTGTCTGTGGTCTTCTCTGGTCTCTCACTCTGGTCTCTCTCTAGTCTCTCTCTTTTGTCTTTCTGGTCTCTCTGGGCTCTCTCAGGTCTCACTCTAGTCCCTCTCTCTGCTCTCTCTCTTGTTTCTTTCTGGTCTATCTCTGTCTCAGGTCTCACTCTAGTCTCTCTCTCTCTCTTTGGTCTCTCGTCTCTCTTTGGGGTGTATCGCAGGGGTGCGTTTCAGGCCCAATGATCTTCTGTTATTCTATGTCAGAACATAGAGTAAACTGAGAGAAAAAAACAGTTTTGCATAAATATTTTAACAAAAGAACTCTAAAGTCACATATGCATCCTTCTCAACTCACAACTTGGCTTGACAGCAACAGACCAAAAGACTTGCCTCAGCCACTGGTAAGTATATTTTAATCTAATAAAACATGTGATTTGTTGGCATGGATGGAACTAAAAACATCTGCAGATTTGTGACTGATGAGGAACAGTGGACATGGAGAAATGTGTGGCTGTAAACTTTTGCCTGGAGCTCACCACAAGGGTCCGTTTTGGGCCCAGAGTTATTCTGTTGGGGGAAAACAACACACTAGAATAAGCAGTAAAACTTGTAAATATATTTTAATGACATGAAACGAGTGCTTTGAGTTAATCTCACTTTGGCACAAGTTACAAACAATAGAATTATGTTTTTTCCCGTACATGCTGTTAAATAAATGGTCATGTTACAGACACCGAAGTCGTTGTGCTTTCGTAGTTTCACTCGTCAGAACAGAAGTTAAATGATCCTTTTGAAGGCGGGGAGAGTCTGATCGTTCTGATGAACTTTTACTTTAGAGACAGAAGCAGACGACGCACGATGGAGGTTAATTAACAAAATTTGTTTGTTATTGCTGCTCGAGTAAAAAGGTAAACACAAAAATGTCTCTATAGCCCTGTTTTCCCTAACTTACCCTACACTACTTTACACTACTCTACTCTACTCTACCCTACCCTACTCTACCCTACCCTACCCTACTCTACTCTACCCTACCCTACCCTACTCTACCCTACCCTACCCTACCCTACTCTACTCTACCCTACCCTACTCTACCCTACTGTACTCTACTCTACCCTACTCTACTCTACCCTACTCTACTCTACCCTACCATACTCTACTCTACCCTACTCTACCCTACCCTACTCTACCCTACCCTACCGTACTCTACTCTACCCTACTCTACTCTACCCTACCCTACTCTACCCTACCCTACCCTACTCTACTCTACCCTACTCTACTCTACCCTACCCTACTCTACTCTACCCTACCCTACCCTACCCTACCCTACTCTACTCTACTCTACCCTACCCTACCCTACTCTACCCTACTCCACTCTACTGTACTCTACCCTACTCTACTCTACTGTACTCTACCCTATCCTATCCTATCCTACTCTACTCTACCCTACCCTACCCTACTGTGCTCTGCTCTACTCTACTGTACTCTACCCTACTCTACTCATACTCTACCCCCCTACCCCAATTGGGAGTGTTTCCACTGGTTCAGTGTGACCAGTACCAGGTCCATCTTTAGTCCCTCTTGGTCCTGGTTCTATCCAGGCCGAGCTGGTTCTAACTGACAGTGACTGGCCAGAGTGCTGCTGGACACTGGTTTGTTGTGGGTAGCAAAAGCATAATGGAAACATAACAGAGTAGAGTAGTGTAAGGTAGGGTAGGGTAGGGTAGGGTTGAGCCATGGTTACCAAGGAATTTCTCCAGTTACTGCTTTGTAGTGGGTAGGTTGCTATGACAGTAGAGTAGGTGAAAACAGGGCTTATTTTAAACCACAGTAAACTTGACAACAATAGGACACTTATCCAGGTAATGCAAGGGCTTTGGTATGAATGAAACTTTTAACCATGTTTTTTTCTGGGGTCCGTAACTTTCAAAACACATCTTTAATATCCATGTCTCTAGTTCTTGGCTCTAAAACTGTTGCTTCTATCACGAGTGTCATGTATTTTTGTCCTCTGTCATATCTTTAGATCAGCTTTTTCAGACAGAAACCTAACAAAGAGAGGACCACCCTCACTCAGCCAATCAGCTCTTAACCCCAGGAGGCAAATGGTGACTCACAGGGATTTTTTCATACACATAACATGTTCCCTTGCGATTATTAAAGTCCATCTAAAACGTTCTGTGTTGAATCTGCCCAGTTTGTGACATCATAAACAGCTGGGGATGTCTTTTCCATGAAGGGAGAGAGTTTTATAAGCACCCGATGTTGTAACATGTTTAAAAGCTCTTGAAGTTGGGGTTATTCAAAAGGTCAGCGTTATAAAACTAAAAAGGCCTTGAAATATAAAAGTTTTTGTTCTTTGGCACCAGTTCTGCGAAGTGTCGTCTGTAATAACGTCACGTACAAATCACCAAACGTAGTTAACTAGTTTTACACGGTTATAACATGAAGGTGAGAAACTTAAATACAAATATCCGGCGTCGAGAAAGCCAACACAACACCAACCCTTTCTTCCAAATGTTCTTCAACTGAGTGCAATCTGTCGCTACCGTTAGCATTCCTATTAGCATCGCCGTTAGCATTGTCGTACCGTGCTAGCTCTCAGTCCACGAGTTGAGTCCCACTTGGTATTGATAGGACGCAATGCCTCCTTGCGAAGTGTACGCTCCGTAATCTCGACTGGGCTTTTTGTGGCACAGAGACCGCTCCCTGCTGCAGGCAGCGGAGGAGGATGTGGCAGCTGCAATGGGGAATCCTCTCTGCACCGTGTTGTAGAGCTCCCCCTGCTGGCGGGAGGTGGAACTGTTGGTGAAGTGCGCTGCGAAGGACTGGTAGGGCACGGCGTCCATGTTGTAGCGCGGGTAGTTCTGCATCCATACGTTGCAGTTGAGAGAGTTCGGCAGTTCTTCGCAGTCATGGGGGTTAGCAGAGGGCTCTGGTTCAGAGGACGGGAACATGCAGGGGTCCCGCGGGGGCATGGGCTCGGGGCAGTAGGGGTGAGAGAGGAGGGGGGAGTCGTACGCAGGCGGAGCGCGGAAGTACTCGTCCGGGACCGAAGCCGGAGTGTCCAGGTACGGACGCTTACAGCCCAGTTCCAGGTGACGACTGTTGTCTGGAGCAAAACAAGATCAGATTCAATTCAATGTATTTGTGTTTTGGGCTAAAACACAACAGAAGTCGTCTCTGAGGACTTCACCAACAACTGATCAGAAAATCAAACTGTTTGAACAAAGGAAGTTCGATAATAACAAAAACATAGGAGTCAATGGTTTATAGTAGTGGGATTACTGTGGCTGTAGATCCTGGACTGTGGCTCTATAGTTCATCTCTCTAGTCCCTTCTTTTGTTCTCTATCAGGTCGGTCTCGGATCTCTCTTTGGTCTCCCTCTCTCTCTGGGCTCTCTCTCTGATCTCTCTCTCTGGGCTCTTTCTCTGATCTCTCTCTCTGGTCTCTCTCTCTCTGGTCTCTGGTCTCTCTCTGGTCTCTCTCTGATCCCCCTCCCTGGGCTCTCTCTCTCTGGGCTCTCTCTCTGGTCTCTCTCTCTGGTCTCTCTCTGTTCTCTTCCTGGTCTCTCTCTCTCTGGTCTCTCTCTCTGGTCTCTCTGTTCTCTTCCTGGTCTCTCTCTCTCTGGTCTCTCTCTCTGGTCTCTCTCTGGTGCACACTGGGGACTTTTGCTCATGCATCCAAAGTGGTTTTAATGCAAATGGCAAATAATCTGAATCTTCTTTTGACTTTTATTCTTTATAAGTTAATGCAGATAGTTTTAAGTGCATATACAGTAGTTCTCTGTGTGTAGAGTGTTTACCTCTGTGTTTGAAGCAGTGGTAGAGCAGCCCCGGTTCTCTCTGGCTGAAGTGGGAGGACAGAGGCTCAGGGTCCGGACTCACCCCAGGGTCGTGGTACTGGTACTGGGATAGGACTTGTGGGTGCCCAGGCAGACCTCCAGAGCTCAGCTTACCCAGGTGAGCGTGTGAGGAGAGCAGGCGCTGGCGAACCACACTCTTGGACATCACTGGATACTCCTTTCTGAAACAGGGACAGAGGAGTCACTCCTTTCTGAAACGGGGAGAGAGGAGTCACTCTTTTCTGAAACAGGGAGAGGAGTCAGCCCAAATATCACACTGGGAATCAGGCGCCGTGGGAGAAGGTAAGATACTAGAACCTCTGAAGACCAAATACTGCATATGTGACCTCACTTTGAAATCACCAGAAATTCTACCAATATAATACATTGGGGCAAAAAAGTATTTAGTCAGCCACCGAATGTGCAAGTTCTCCCACTTAAAATAATGACAGAGGTCTGTAATTTTCATCATAGGTACACTTTTCAACTGTGAGAGACGGAATGTGAAAAAAAGATCCAGGAATTCACATTGTAGGATTTTTAAAGAATTTATTTGTAAATTATGGTGGAAAATAAGTATTTGGTCACTTCAAACAAGGAAGATCTCTGGCTCTCACAGACCTGTAACTTTTTCTTTAAGAAGCTCTTCTGTCCTCCACTCGTTACCTGTATTAATGGTTCCTGTTTGAACTGGTTATCTGTATAAAAGACACCTGTCCACAGCCTCAAACAGTCAGACTCCAAACTCCACTATGGCCAAGACCAAAGAGCTGTCAAAGGACACCAGGAAAAGACTTGTAGACCTGTACCAGACTGGGAAGAGTGAATCTACAATAGGCAAGCAGCTTGGTGTGAACAAATCAACTGTGGGAGCAATTATCAGAAAATGGAAGACATAAAAGACCACTGATAATCTCCCTCGATCTCATCCCGTGGGGTCAAAATGGTCATGAGAACGGAGATCAAAAATCCCAGAACCACACGGGGGGACCTGGTGAATGACCTGCAGAGAGCTGGGACCAAAGTAACAAAGGTTACCATCAGTAACACACTACGACGACAGGGAATCAAATCCTGCAGTGCCAGACGTGTCCCCCTGCTGAAGCCAGTGCATGTCCAGGCCCGTCTGAAGTTTGCCAGAGAGCACATGGATGATACAGCAGAGGATTGGAAGAATGTCATGTGGTCAGATGAAACCAAAGTAGAACTGTTTGGTATAAACTCAACTCGTCGTGTTTGGATACTGAGTTGCATCCCAAGAACACCATACCTACTGTGAAGCATGGGGGTGGAAACATCATGCTTTGGGGCTGTTTTTCTGCTAAGGGGACAGGACGACTGATCCATGTTAAGGAAAGAATGAATGGGGCCATGTATCGTGAGATTTTGAGCCAAAACCTCCTTCCATCAGTGAGAGCTTTGAAGATGAAACGTGGCTGGGTCTTCCAGCATGACAATGATCCCAAACACACCGTAAAAAGCCGTCCTGGAGTGGCCTAGCCAGTCTCCAGACCTCAACCCCATTGAAAATCTGTGGAGGGAGTTGAAAGTCCGTGTTCACTGCTCTCGAGAAGATCTGGATGGAGGAATGGGCCAAAATACCAGCTACTGTGTGTGCAAACCTGGTAAAGACCTATAGTAATCGTTTGACCTCTGTTATTGCCAACAAAGGTTATATTACCAAGTATTGAGTTGAATTTTTGTTATTGACCAAATACTTATTTTCCACCATAATTTACAAATAAATTCTTTAAAAATCCTACAATGTGAATTCCTGGATTTTTCTTTCACATTCTGTCTCTCACAGTTGAAGTGTACCTATGATGAAAATTACAGACCTCTGTCATTATTTTAAGTGGGAAAACTTGCACAATCGGTGGCTGACTAAATACTTTTTTGCCCCGCTGTATTTTAAGATCTACTGTGTGGCCTCTGTGCTAAACTTGTGCATGCAGCCTAGTCGTTATTAAAATGATTATAGATAAATGGATTACCTTATCCTATGGAAAACTGTAAAATCTACACTTTCTGAATCTGTTTATGAACGCAGCGGTACCATAGACAGACTGTATATTAGAAGTGGTCTGACATTAGCACAGTCTGACATCATCACAGTGTGACATCCTCACAGTGTGAAATCACCACAGTGTGAAATCACCAAAGTGTGACATCACCACAGTTTTTGCCTTAATGCGGAAGAGGCTGATTTGAACATAAGCTGGAGCCAATTTCCTTAAATGGTCCTGGTCTCAGGTCTCTGCTTCCTGTGGCTCAGAAAATAGATAAAGTTGCTCTGTCCATGGAGGAGCGCCAAAGTACATCTGTGACATGTTAGTTCTGAGGAGCACAGGGACTGGCCTCCTGCTGGTCCCAGAGTCGGGCCTAAACATGGAGAGGCAGTGTTTCAGATTTATGCCTTTAAAATCTGGAACAGTCTTCCTGAAAATGTGAGACAGGCTTCTTCTCTGACAATGTTCAAATCCAGGTTAAAACAGTTCTGCGGCACGGTGGCTGAGTGGATAGCACTCTCGCCTCTCAGCAAGAAGGTCCTGGGTTCGAATCCCGGCCGGACCAGGGCCTTTCTGAGTGGAGTTTGCATGTTCTCCCCGTGTCTGCGTAGGTTTCCTCCGGGTACTCCGGTTTCCCCTACCACTAAAAATATGTACAATAGGTCTGGCATGCGCCTCCTGTTCGGCGACCCCGCTCCCATCTCTGTGTGGAGTGAGAGACAAATGCCCAAAAAATAACAATTGTAAACCGCTTTGTGACTCTGGTCTGTGAAAGGCGGTATATAAATAAAGCTTACTTACTTACTACTTACTACTTCAGTTCATCTGTACAAACAACTGAAGGATTATATCTTCACGCACTTTAATGTTATGTGATTTTTTATGATTTTAATGCCTTGTTCTTTCTGGTTTTGTTAAGCACTTGGACTTGCGTTGTGTATGAACTGTGCGCTGCAAATAAACTACCCTCAATGTGTAGTTTTACCCCTGTAGTCTGGACACCCTGAGGTCGCCCTCCTCGCTGCCTCTGAACCCTTTAGCAAACGGGTTGTTCTCGATCTTCAGCTGCGTGATCTGGAGAAAAGAGAAATGTTTTTGTTATGATATCGGCTGGCACAGAAGACCAAATACTACATATGTGACTATGATGGAAATGATTATTTTGAAATCAGCACCAACAGGCAGACCTGTTGCTGAGGCAAGTTGCAGTTTCTCCTGAATGAAAGCCTCTGATTGGTCAATCCTCATATGGCTCATAACTGGATTTCTAAAGACAATATCACAATATACTGTACTATACTATCATAATATACATCTGAAACAACCGCCTCTTTCGGGGACCATTTTTGACAGAGAAAGAGACCAGAGAGAGGCCAGAGAGAGGCCAGAGAGAGGGACCAGAGAGAAGGACCAGAAAGCGGGAACAGAGAGCGAGAACAGAGAGTGAAACCAGAGAGTGAGACCAGAGAGTGAGACCAGAGAGAGAGACCAGAGAGTGAGACCAGAGAGAGAGACCAGAGAGTGAGACCAGAGAGAGAGACCAGAGAGAGAGACCAGAGAGAGAGACCAGAGAGTGAGACCAGAGAGTGAGACCAGAGAGTGAGACCAGAGAGTGAGACCAGAGAGTTAGTACCTTGTGGTTCTGGTAGGAGGTGACAGAGATGAAGGAGGTCTCCTGGAACACGTGTGTGCAGTAGGCCGTGTTCTTGGAGCCAAAGGCGTTGTTCTCGTCGGCTTTGACAATGTGTAAACGAGGCTGATACTTGTGCATCGAGTTCAGGATGATCTGAGGACAGACACAAGACGTGATCTCACTCTCTGCTCTCTCTCTTTCTATTGTTTTTCTTTCCCTCTCTACTCTCTCTGATCCCTCTCTGGTCTCTCCCTGGTCTCTCTCTCTCTAGTCTTACTCTGGTCTCTCTCTGCTCTCTCTTTCTCCTCTTTCCCTGGTTTCTCTCTCTGGTCTCTCTCTCTCTGCTCTTTCCCTGGTCTCTCCCTAGTCTCTCTCTGATCCTGGTCCTGATCCTTAGAGGAAAAGGAGCAGGAACTTCCATGACGCCGCCTCAGTTTAACGAGGACATTAACTCAGCCACACTCTGTAAAAGCAGAAGCTAATCCTCCACAAACTGGTGCAATTAGAGCCAGCAGCGGCCATCTTGGATCCGGAGAACAACAAACAACAGCCTCGGAGCCGAGCGGACAGGAGCCGAGCGGACAGGACCCTCACAGAACGCTCTGTGTGGAAGCTGCCCAGAGGCATGTCCCTGGTGTCCGACAGCAGGGGGCGCTCCTCCTGATGGTGAGGAGGTGAGAGGAGGCATCTGTTTGGGATTATCCAATGGGAGGAGACTCCAGGGGAATCCCAGGACACGTTAAGAGACTTGCCCTGTTTCCAGCCGCACACTGGTCTCTTACGTCTCTCTTAAGCTGTCACTTCCGTTGATGGAGGCATGGACGCTCGCTCACTAAATTTCAGCAGCATGAGTTCAGTAAATCTGACTATCTGCTGCGATGGCGAAAAACACAGGGCGGAAGTGGTGGGCGGGCTTTGATGCTAAAGAGTTTAAGCAGTGAGTGTTAGCAACTTATTGTGGCCTCCACGAGTGCCACGACGTACATGCGAATATTCACACCGACGTACGTCACCATTGCCTTTGCATTGAAACTTGCAGCAGGTGGATCTGCGGCGAGTTTCAATGCAAAGGCAATGATCCCCCAACTCTCTCCCCCCACTCTCCCCCCCTCCCTCTCTCACATGTCCAAATGGGTCCAGGTGGTTGTTGGTGAGTTTGAGTTTCTGGAAAGAGACCAGTTGCCTCATCCAGTGAGCTCCTGTCGAGGGCGAGTCTGGATGAACATAGAGCCGACCAGGCATCGCAGGCTCCGCCTTCCCAGCCACCATCCTGCAACATAACACAGGTTAATACACAAACACACACACACACCCGCCACCATCATCCTGAGGTAGAGAGCAACACAATAGGATGCTTTAATATTACACCCACTCACAACTCACACGCACAAAGATACACACACACTGACGACCACCACAATGCAGGACAATTAACACACTTTATTATTAATTCAATGTGGTTATTACATGGACAGACACACACGCACACAGATACACTGACAGACTTGAACACACACACAGACAGGTGTAAGAGGAAGCACCATTCGAGGAGCTGTCTGCGGGAGTAGAGAGCCACTTGCAATGAGCGACACGGAACCCAGATCTCCACCAAATCAACCCTGACCCAAAGTAGTACGGTGAGAGCTTCACACACCCAAACACAGCTCCACAGCTCGTTACGCTGTCATTATCAACAGTATTAGATGTGTAGTATCTCAGACCTCATGCCAATCTACCACCTGCCTCGTCCACTGAGAATGTATATATACTTATATTCATACATATATTACATATATACATACAGTATCTATATATATATATATATATATAATATATATATATATATATAATATATATATGAGCAGCAGCCAAGAAAAGTTAAAGTCGCAAGGCGGGTTGAGTGCCGAGGGTTGTGGTTCAGGGTAATCCTCGTCTGCTGTTATTGAAAGCACCTGACTTCAGCCCAATTACTGCTGGACCCAGTGCCCTACAGGCCCAGACAGAGGGAGGGGCTGAAGGGCCGGGTCATTATCCAAGAGAGGTGTGAGTGATGGAGACCAGAGGCTGCAGCAGGAGGAGGCAGGAGGAGGAGGCTTTAAAGCGAGGATACAAACTCCTTCCACATGATCTTGAGGATATTTTAAACCTGTCTCCACATGGACTACAGGCCACCCGCGGTACTACAGTCTAAATCCACACAGACTAGAGGCCACCTGTGGTCCTGCAACCTAAATCCACATAGACTAGAGGCCATCTGTGGTACTGCAGCATACTGTGGTCCCCCTCTCTGGTCTACCTTTTTCTCTCTGATTTCTCTTTCATGGCCTCTTTGTGGTTCCTCTAGCGCGACCAGAGAGAGAGAGACCACAGCGATAGAGTCCACAGAGGCTAGAGAGAGAGACCACAGAGGCAAGAGAGAGACCAGAGTAGGAGAGGCCAAATACGGAGACCAGAGAGAGAGGGAGACCGGAGGGAGATTCTGTCTCTGTGATCCTGGTGTATATATTGTGATGTTATGTTTTGTCAGAGTGTTCACTAAGAGACTAGGTCGCAAGGCGGGTTGAATGCCCAGTGGTCTCCTTACCATTTGTTGTCACAGAACTTGTATCTGTGGTCGTCGGCCGGCACCACGTCGATCAGGAGGATGTACTTGGTCTTTGGGTTCATCCCGGTCACTTTCACTTTGTAACTGGGAAACATCCGCCTGGAGAGAGCGAGAGAGCAGAGGTTAGAGGGTCAGAGGAAAAAAGACTAGAATAAATATAGTAGTAAGTTGTAGCAATGGTGTAAGGGCACAGCAGAGAAGGCAAAAGCTGCTTTATTATCATTGCTAACATGCATGGACTATATAAGGACTGTTCTCTCTCTGCTCTCTATCTCTGCTCTTTCTGGTCTCTCTCTCTCTGGTCTCTATCTCTGCTCTTTCTGGTCTCTCTTTAGTCTCTCTCTCTCTGGTCTCTATCTCTGTTCTCTCTCTTTTCTCTTTCTGTTCTCTCTCTGGCCTTTCTACTCTCTCTGGTATCTCGGGGCTCTCTCTGCTCTCTCTCTGCCCTCTCTTTCTGTTTTCTCTCTGCTCTATTTCTGTTCTCTCTCTCTCTGTTCTCTCTCTCCGCTTACTCTCTCTAGTCTTGCTCTGCTCTCTCTCTCTCATGAGAATGTCTCTTGATACTTTTGCCCACGTGTCTGTTTGAAGTGGTGGTTCCCAGAGTGAGGATCAGTCAAACATGTGGAGGCAAAGAGGAACAGCTGCTGCTTATATACACACACACACACACACACACACAGACACACACACACACATACACACACACAGTGTTTATACGCTCCTACACACTCACCTTTTTTATATAAACGCATACGAGACAGGGACTGACCCCACTCCATCTCCTCTCACAAAACAACACTGCAGCCGACGATTCACAGCCAGAAGGATGATCTCTGGTCTAGATTCCTGGTTTACGCTTCATGGTGTCTCTCAGGTCTCTCTCTCTTCATATTCTGGGCATGGTATCTTCTCTGGTCTCTCTAGCCTCTGGTCTCTGGACTCTTTTTGGTGTCTCTGTTCTCGCTCTCGTCTCTTTCTCTATGATCTATCGCTGGACTCTCTCTGGTCTATTTCTGGTCTCTAGTCTGCTCTTTACCTTTCTGATTTTTTTAAAATCTCTGGTCTCTCTTTTGTCCCTCTGGCCTCTGGTCTCTCTCTGGTCTTTCTCTGGTTTCTTTCTGGTCTCCAGGCTGTAGTCTAGTCTCTGGTCTCTCCACTTTGGTCTATCTGGTCTATAGTCTGGCCTCCGGTCTCCAGTCTGATCTCTGGTCCCTCCTCTTTGGTCTATCTGGTCTCTCCTCTCTGGTCTCTAGTCTGGTCTCTGGTCTCTAGTCCCTGTCCTCCTCATATTCTGAACGTTCCTGCAGGATTACCTCCAGGTCACGCTCCTCGTCTCTGCATTGATCACATTACCGTCCCACAATCCCTCAGTACAGATGACGGATCACCCCGAAATCGGATCTGCAGATATGTGGGTCCCATCCTCTGGACCCAGCGAGACCAGAGACTCAGGGAAGACTCAGACAAACTCATGGAGATTGGACCTCAGAGACCAACTGGGACCCGTGAGAGGCCCCGCAAGATCTCAACCATGGTGCCAATAAGTCTCTCACTCTCTGTCTCTGGTCACATGGTCTCACTCTGGTCTCTCTCTCTGGTCTCTGTCTATCTGGTCTCTCTCTCTGGTCTCTGTCTGTCTGGTCTCTCTCTGTCTGGTCTCTCTCTGGTCTCAGTCTAACTCCGGGGTGTCATTAAAAAGCACTTACGCTGTGTGTAAAAGTGAAACGCACTTTGAGGATTATGGGAAACTCAGGAGTTTAAAGCTCAGGTCCCTGACTTTCTGTTTGTATAAAATAAATGTGTTTGTCCTAAAAGAAAGACAATCAGGCCATAACATGCTGTCTTTGTTGTAATCGTCACTCTGGTCTCTCTTCTCCCTTCTCATCTCTCTCTTCTGTCTCCTCTCCTTTCCTCTCTCTCTCCCCTCTCCATCTCCCCTCTCTCCTCTCAGGAGACAGATGAGCTGTTTTCCAGGATCTGCTTTTCATCCAGGATCTAATCCGCTGGTAGACTTCAGGACACTGTGGTTTCATGGTTTCAATTACACTACTACTACTACTACTACTACTACTGCTACTGCTACTGCTACTGCTACTGCTACTGCTACTACTGCTACTGCTACTGCTACTACTACTACTACTACTGCTACTGCTACTGCTACTACTGCTACTACTACTGCTACTGCTACTACTGCTGCTACTACTGCTACTACTACTACTACTACTGCTACTACTGCTACTGCTACTACTACTACTACTGCTACTGCTACTGCTACTACTACTGCTACTACTGCTGCTACTACTGCTACTGCTGCTACTACTGCTACTACTTCTACTACTACTACTGCTACTACTTCTACTACTACTGCTACTACTACTACTACTACTGCTACTGCTACTACTGCTGCTGCTACTGCTACTACTACTACTACTACTACTGCTACTACTACTACTGCTACTACTGCTGCTACTACTGCTACTGCTACTACTACTGCAGTACTCTGGGAGCTAAATATATAGTCTTTTCCCCATGTAATTGCTACAAGATATGGCCATGACTCAGATCATAGGATTTTAAAGGGTAATATTTAATAGTAGCATTGGTGGTAATAAGCGACAATGGCATGTTATCCATTACTAATTCTCAAGAAAACATCAAACCATAAAATTTAATTCCATAAGAAATGTTAAGCCAACATGTAACTAGAAGTTAGAATTGTTATGTTATGTTTTTTACAAGTCTTAAATTACATTTCTTCTTAAAGATATAAAGGAGGATTTCCCAATTTTCTTAGGAAACAACCGCTCCCTCTACACTTTTTCGAACAAAACACTGGTCTTATTTGACGAGCACGTATCACCAGAATGATTGACAATTGGGAGGACCAATAGTCTCGATGATCCCCCAGAAGTAGAAAATCTTCTTTTGGTTCAGTCCACAGGAACTGAACTAATTCTAATCAGAAAAGAATGTCCAATCTAACTCATGTGAAGCAAGTCATTTATTTAGATACCTTCATTTTCCAAAACATTTTTATACATGAAACCCACTTATTTTTGGCCCCTGACCAGCCCTTTCTTTATTTATTCGGCCCTCAACCACAACAAGTTTGACTGATCTGAACCAGGAACAGATCTACGTCCATGTGGACTTAGAGGACTCCTGTGGGACCCACCTGCCTGCTTTGGTGATGATCATCTCTGTTCCGGCTTCATGAAACTTCTTCCACAGCTCTCTCTCGTGAAGAACCACCTTTATGTTCTCTATGTTCTGCATAGAAGAAGGAGACAAATCAACCACCAGGCATTAAAACCTGAGGTACAATCATTCAATGGAACGTATACAGATGGACAATGCTAACCCGCTAGCTCAGTAACCGTTTTGGGTTCCAGCTTGTGTTCAAATTGGCCTCTCCTGCATTAAGGCTAACACTGTGGTGATGTCACACTCAGTCAGTCCCCTCCTCACACAAATTCTATGCTTCATCTCTTTAGAAAACGTTATTTTTTTGTTTAAAGAACCCTGTGAGTCACTACTTGGGCTGAAAACTGATTGGCTGAGTGAGGGTGGTCCTCTCTTTTTCACTTTACTCTCTCTAGTCTCTCTCTTTGGGCTCTCTCAAGTTTTTGGTTCCTCTCTTTGGCCTCTCTTTCTCTGCTCCTCTCTCTCTCTCCCTCTCTCTCTCTCTCCCTCTCGTTCTCTCTCTTTCTCTCTCGTTCTCTCTCTCTTATCTCTCTCTCTCTCTGATCTCTCCCTCTCTCTAGTCTCTAGTCTCTCTCTGCGCTCTCATATGTCATGAACCATGACTGGTGTGTTGCTGGTACCTGGTCCTGGTCCCTGGTGCCTGTGGTTCCTGTCCTCCTCTCGGGGCCCACACTGGGAGCTGTTGTTGGGGCCTCGGCTGCACACACCAGAGGAGTGGAGCTCTTCTCCTGCAGCATCTCTGTCTCTGCAACAGGAGTGTGACATCACCACTGTGTGACATCACCACTGCGTAGGGCTGGGCAATAAATCGAATTTAGGCAATTAATCGGCTTTTAAAAAAATTGAATTTGTGAAAAATGTGAAAATCGTGAAATCAAATGAAGGATATTGTGAGTTCCAGCTGCACATGAGTCTGTACAAGACTTATGTAACATGTAACATGTATTGGGGGAAACAAATTAAAAATAGTTTTGAAACTTGAATATTGAGCAGAAAGATCAACAAATATTTTTAAGGGCAACGTCTGTCTTTGGTGACTTTAATGAAAATTGAAATCATCCAAAGCAGGAAATAAAATCGAGATTTTACTTTTTTGCCATATCGCCCAGCCCTACCACCGCGTGACATTAACACAGTGTTAGCCTTAATGTGGAACAAGCTGATTTGAACATAAGCTAGGCAAGCTGGAGTTTCCCTCATGAATGTTGGAATCTGAGAGAGAGACCAGAGAGATCAGAGAAAGAGAGATCAGAGAGACAGACGTGTTGTTAAGGCAAGCTAGAGTGAAGGCCTCTGATTGGTCAGTCCTTATATGGCTCATGTCTGGATTTACAAAGACAATATCACATACAAACACCAGGATCACAGAGAGCAATAAACCACAGATTTAAGCCCAAAATGGTGATGTCACACAAACGTTACTTAGCTAGAGGAGGTTAATTTTACATGGAAGTCAAGGAGCCAGAAAGAGATGGAGCTTGTTAGCATTGAGCTAGCAGGTTAGCATTTTCCGTCTGTATACAGCATCAATTCGCTCAATACCAATATATGTTACAATTACGACTGGGATAATCTGAAATATCTCTTTACTTGTCAAAGGTTTTGTACTTTAGCTCTGCGATCAAAATCATTTAAAAACAATCCACATTTTCTTTTGTTCATATGATGTGCCAGTATTCTGTTTTAAATAATCTATTTTGATTATGGATTGTTTTATACAGGGTGCTTGCGCAAGTCTTGAAAGTCTAATAAGTATGGAATTTTGAAACACTGTTTTCCAGACAATGAAAAGTTATGGATTTTTTTTTTTTTTTATTGAATACTAGCCTATAAAAAAATAAAATTTCTAATAAACACAGTTGGTACAATCTCAACCAAGGAAGTATGGCAGTAGGCATACAAGTATACAAGTACATAAAGTTAAGGTCTTGGGAAAAATACTATCAGCTTTTAAAGTCTGGAATTTTAATTTGGAAAAAGAGAAAGCACCTTGTAATATCTATATATTTTTGAGGAGACTGTCTTTGCCCGTTTGTGGAAAGGATGAGGGATCGGGCTGAAAGGGTTAATCTCAACAAAGTCTTCCAAAAAGCTTTCATTATAATTTTAATTCCTCAATCATTTAATTAATAACTCAAACACAAGCTAACAGAGCTAATAGAGCAAACAGAGCAGACGGAGCTAACAAAGCTAATAGAGCTAACTAAGCTAATGGAAATATCGGAGATAGGAGGATTGTCACAAATTTTAGGAAAGAACCGCCTTCTCCACTCTTTGAACTGAACTCTCTGGTCTTATTGGACGAGCAGGTATCACCAGAATGATTGACAATTAGGAGGACCAATAGTCTTGATGATCCACCCGGAAGTAGAAAATCCTCCTGTAATATACCTTTAAGGAAACTAACTGCTGACAGAGCAAAAACAGTGGTGCCTCGTTCCACACAGTTCTGTTTCTTTAACGTGTTTGATGTTTATTGCTGAATGTTGTGGAGAGTTAAATGTTAAGATAAGTTTAGCGTCTAGATAATAAGCAGATACTTTTACACAAAAATAACAAAATCACTGTTTCTTGTCATTCAAGATTCAACAGTTTTAAACCAGACGTCTCTGTGTCTGAAGCAGCTCACACATTAACTTTATTACTTCTGAACGAGGATTAACTCAAAGTGGAACAAAATGACAGATTAGAGATTTTAGAGGTGTTCTGAAATCACACGTTACTTCCTCCTGAAGACGGAGGGATACGTCGACGCCGCGGCCTAAGAATATAGTCCAGAACACGACGGGAACAATTCTATGTTATTATAATCAGAAATAACTCTCCCCCTCTCTCTCTCTGGTCTCTCTCTTTGGTCCCTCCCTCTGGTCTCTCTCTCGGGTCTCTCTCTGGTTTCTCTCTCTGGTTTCTCTCTCTGGTCTCTCTGGTCTCCCCCCCTCTCTCTCTGGTCTCTCTCTTTGGTCTCCATCTCCTGGTCTCTCTCTCGCTAGTCTCTCTCTGGTCTATCTCTGGTTTTCCTCCCTGGTCTCTCTCTGCTCTCTCCCTGGCCTCTCTTTTTTGCACTTTTCAAAAAACTATTGAAGAAAACTGGCTTTGGTGACCTTTAATTAATTCTAATTCCTTAATTTTTGTCCCAAATTTCTTGTATATTGTGATTGTATTTTAAAGCTGGGGTACTGTACGTAACAATAGAGCTCTGTATAGATTCCACAGAGGTTAGGTATAGGTTCTTAAAGCTCTAAAACAGACGTCTTATGTAACGTTAGAACCATTGAACCGAGTCAAATATTACACAGGTTTTTAATGCCTCACTTTACTGCGATACATTACTTTTGTTTCTCCCAACACTGGTCTGTGTGATGAGACCAAAACTACCACAATGATGAATTAATAAACATGTAATTATGGGTTATTTTGGATCGATACAAAGTACAAACCCTGCATAAGGTCTTTAAGGTGTCACCACAAAATAGGTAGAACATATATTATTATTATTATATGACTTGGACCGTACGCGCGCTCTGATTGGTTGATTTGCGGTCTGATATTTTCCCATCTCGGACCGTTGCCATGACAATTGGTCCGAACAACGCGTATCACATTTGATATCTTTCCACGGACCGTTACCATGACAATCGGTCCACAGCCCGTATCACACAAAACCAAGTCGGACATGAACATACTTCACAAATATCTCAAAAGCATTGGTAAAGACACAGACGAGAGTCATATAATAAAACATTTATCAACCTTGCTTGCCCGGTCTGTGCAGAGAAATATCAGACCTTGGCCTTTTTGCACATTAAGGCTGCGGTCTGATATTTCTCCATACAGACCTTGCGCTCGGTTAATAAGCCGTTATTATTATTACTATTATTAAATGTCTGTTTTGTGTTCAAACAATACAGTTACAATGTATCACAGTTACAGTATCCACACATAATACCAGTATTTTCTGCTGCTCTGTGGAGTCCTTCCGTTTCCTGGGCACCAACATCACCCATGGACCTCAAGTGGGAGCCGACCATCAGCTCCCTCATCAAGAAGGCCCAGCAGAGGATGTACTTCCTGCGGCAGCTCAGGAAAGCCAAGCTGCCTGCACAGATGTTGGTGCAGTTCTACACGGCCATCATCGAGTCCATCCTCACCTCCTGCGTCACCGTGTGGTTCGCTGGAGCCACAGTCAGGGACAAACAGAGACTACAGCGCATTGTGCGCTCTGCAGAGGAAGTGATCGGCCGCAGCCTTCCATCGCTGCAGGACCTGTACGTCGCCCGAGCTCGAGGCCGGGCTGGTCGTATCACAGCCGACCCCTCTCACCTGCACATGGACTATTCCAACCACTCCCCTCAGGCAGGAGGCTGCGGTCCATCAGGACTAGAACCTCCCGCCACAAGAACAGTTTCTTCCCCTCTGCTGTTGGACTCTTGAACACTTCTTAACCTGTCCCCCCGCCCTTTATAAAGTCACTTTACTGCCCATCATACGTCACTTTACTTCACTGTACTGTCACCTTACATTGTGTGCACCATGTGCACTTGTATATTGTAAATAGTAACTGTAACTCTATTTTAAATTTAAATTTATTCCTTAGAAGTGTTTTTTTTTCTTTATTTTTATTCTTTATTTTTATTATCTCTTTCTGACTGTTGCACTGAGCCAAAGCAATTTCCAAGTCTATGACTTCCTGTTACTTACGTGGCAATAAAGATTATTCTGATTCTGATTTATTTGTTGAATTTATTTTCTCTTTTATATGAGCTGTTTTTAAGGATCCACCTAGTTCATTTTTTTAATATATGTATTTTGGCTAACTAATGTAAAAAATAACTCGTATTAAAACAGATGTGTGTCTGAGTAAAGCTAATGAAAGCTAAAGCTAATCACCACATGATCAACATTTAAAATACTTCTCATGCAGAAACTTTGTCGCTTTAATAAACATTGGAGAGAACATATTATTATTACTGTCATGATTATTATTATTGCCTCAGTCCTGGATCTCAGTCTTAGAAGAAAACTTGATTCTGGAAACGTTAACTCGTTCCAATTGTGTCATTTTTGTCTGAAATTTCTTTGGTCAGAAACAGAAAATTGTGATTGTAATTTAAAGCTGGGGTTGATAACTTTCAAGCCAAAACGCGTCACTAATCGTCTAATCATATTATATTTTTAACGTGACATATTTGGTTTATAAAATGGAAGAAAGCTAAAATAGGAGCTAAAATAAAAAATCCAAAACATAACATAAAACTGGTGAAAATATCTTTAAATACAGAAAAGTAAATATTAGCTTTAGTAAATAGTTTAGCTAATGCTAACAGGTAGCTATGTTGCTATGGTTACTAGCGCTAGCAAAAATAACGACAGAAAGAAGCATGAAAAGTCACTTATGAAGATCAGACATTTACGTGAGCAGTAAATACGACACTAAAATCCGTCAAATTGACTGATGATTGTTTTAAAACGTTTCAAACTAATTTTCAGAGTAGAACAGAACATTATTGTTTCTCAAGCGCACAACACACACACACGCATATATTATTCTAATTATTTCTATTTTTGATTATTTCAAACACATTTCAAACAGGTGAAAAACAGACAATAAAAACACTTAAAAATGAAAAAATAAAAATATGTATAAACAATAAAAAATAACAATTCTCCTGATGCCTAAAGCCCAGAGAAAGAGTCTTAAGCAACAATATACATAAACAGCTAATACACAAGTTATAAG